AATGTCAACAGCAAGAGTCTCTCCTTCGGTACAAAAGTCAGCAAGTTTGAGTCCCGAAAGGCAGGGGTTAATTTTCACTGCTAGTTCCACAGGTTGACCTTGTAATGGTTGACAAATTAGAGGCAATGTAAAAGCTGACAGTGAAAGATCTGGTTCTCCGTTTAGCTCTACTCCTAGGGCCACAACTTCTACCAACTCTAACCTTTCAACGGTACTTCCAAAGGTTTTTATTGAGACTTGCTTCTTCTCTAGTGTAGGTAGTTGAAGAATGTTCTTCAGGTTGTTTGTAAGATAGGTGCGCTGACTTCCACTGTCCAAGATTATTCTAGCCCTGACCTTAACCTCTGGCTGTTGAGGATTGTACACCACTGCTTGGGCAGTTTGAAGAAACACAGGTGTAGTGGAATCAGTATGAAAAACGACACTATTGCTGGCAGTTTGGGCTGTTAAGCATTGCTGTTGTGGTCCTGGTGTGGGAACTGGTGTTTCACGTTTCGTTGGCTGTAAAGGACTCAGGTTGGCTGGGCAAATACTAACATGGTGTCTGCCCTTGCAGTTATGACACTTGAATTTGGCTGAGCAGTTACGACTAATGTGATCTTTTCGCAGGCAAACAAAACATCTCCCGTACTTCTTCAAAAGCTCCTTACGAGCTAGTACATCAGGTACTGTTTGGCAATCCCTTGATGGGTGTTTTCCCCTACAGTAGGTGCAGGTGGGACAGTTAGCATCACCACCAGTTAACAAGGCATGAGTAGTTCCTTCTTCCCTTCGTTTCGGTTTTGGTGGAGAGGTTTGTCCTTTGTTCACTGTAGACCCTCCTGCCCTTTCTCTTGCCTCAAGCTCTCTTTTAAAAATATTGAGCAATTGATCCAACTGCCAATCATCATCTCAATTTCTCTTGTAATAACAAGACGAAATTCTTGGGGTAGCTTATTCATTAAGATGGATGATAGCAAACCCCCATACGATTCACGTGAAACTCCTAATGACTTTAAGCTTCTCACATTAGATTCAACAGTGTCGTGCAGCTGACGTAGGCTTCTTACATGATAGTGAGATGTGACAGATTCAAGATTCAACAAAATTTCCATGTGACGATTAATTATTTGCTGCTTGTTACCAAATCTAGCTTTCAAAATGTCTACTGCTTCCTCATAGTTCGATGCCCCAAGACTTAACCCGGAAATGGCCTCTGCCGCTGACCGTTCGAGCAACGAGTTTAGGTAGTTAAATTTGTCAATGGCAGTTAAACTCTCATTTTTATGAACTGAGGCTTCAAAACTATCCCAGAAAGAAATCCACTTACTGTGATCGCCGTCGAACTTCTTTAACTCCAGCTTTGGCAATTTAACTTGAGTATTTCTCCGCACAGATGAAGAGGAATTCGACGTTGAAGCTGAAGGAGGCGAAGAATTACTCCCGATTTGAACTTCATTTGCTGACGTGCTTTCCGACACGTTCGCTTCGGTATTTACATTTGAACACACGACCTTCGGCGACAAGGCATTTTCTATGTTAGCAATAGCCAACTGAACATTTTCCTCCAGCAAATCTGCTCGTTCAATTTCACCTTCGATTTCTTCTTCGGCCACAAGCTCAAGAATTTCTGCATCAAGTTGCCGAAGAGTATTGAGTTTCTGCTGTAGGCTGTCCCTTTGTTGTTTCAGCTTGATTTCGTGTTCCCGCACTTGAGAAATGTCTCCTCCTCCAAGGACATCAATAACGGATGAAATAATACGTTTCGCACTTGACCTGTGCCCTGCACGCTGCCGTCGCTTTCTGGCGAGTTCTTCGGCCATAACACAACACAACACAACTTCACTCACAACTGGTACGTAGAATCCGCTTTTATCCGGCTAACGATGGACCATGTAGGCGAATATGAACTGTATTTTATTCCAAGGATTGTCAGGCTCGATTCCTAAAGGTTACAACACTCCGAAGGGTCCAACTTCTAAAGGATTATACAGGATTCCACAGATTCAATTCACTAAAGGCTCACAGATCATCAAGATGGCTACAAGAACGCAACACGTTTTCGGATCTCTCCCAGAAGGCCTAGCGCGCTCCTAAACTCTTACGTCATCGCGCACACTGTTTGTAAAAACACGTTGCCGATAAATAACATTTCCCTGTTTTTCTCTGACGCTACGATAGACATTGCCATGCCTAGTCCCTGCACGGCGTCTCCCCGCGCAATCTCGGTCAAGGCTTTTCGGTGACGAACTCGCTCGGACCACGTGACCCGAAACGCATTAGCCGCGCGGAATAATGAGGCCTACGGACAAGCCAGCGGCAGACAGTCATTCCGTAAAGTCCTTCGCTATCATTAAAAACACTGGACACGGGAATTTTGTTATTGGTCGTTTCCACACTAGAGCTAGAAATGGATTATCCGTCTGTGACTATCCTGTGTACAGTCGCCCCCTTCCCGACAGACCGCCCCTTCTCCGATTTTTTCTGAGGGAAGGGGGCGGTACACAGGCTTTCTGGAACGGACAATCCCGTCTTCAAACTGTCCGTCCAAATTGACGGATAAAGTCGGGCGGATTATTCATTCAAAATTAAAACTATTCCATTTTCAAATTAAGACGTAATACCTATCTGACTCAAATCATCAAACAGTTAACCCGTCTCACACGAATGATCTGTTTCTAGTGTGAAAACGGCCATTTCTGTTGTAATGAATGTCGAGCCCCGGCCTTTAGTTGCGCTTTTTCGTGTCGCTTTTGCTTTTTCACAAAGATTATTTTTAAATTGACTATTGACATTTCTATGGGTAAAATAATGTTAAAAGTGGAATACTTTATAAAAAGTATGATCTATCAAACGTTAAAATGTTTCAAAAGAATAGCTTATTTCATCCCAAGGTGATCCGAAGACCTTTATTTTGCTTTAAAGATACAAAAAATACAAGCTAATTAATATTTAACTTTTTGAAACAAAGGAAGTTAATTTTTAACTTTATTGTTAACCGTAACTGAAAAAAAGTAACCGATAGCCGTAAAAGAGCCAAAATTTTAGCCGATAACCGTAAAACCCAACACCCCATTGAGACCCTCAGCTAAGTTGCCGTACTTGTTGTACTAGATTGCATAAGTATATTGACAAAGACATTCGAGGACAAAGATTGGCTAATAACAAAATTTGACTGAATTTTTTTAAAATTGGTTGCTTTAGTTTGGAGTTAGACTGTTTTTTATTGTATACAAAAGTCGCGTATAACATACCATTACCGCGGAAGCACTGTGCTTACTCCGAAATCCACATCGTATAAAGTCATAAATTTATATTATATATTTGATTCAGGGACCGCGGAGCAAGGTGAAAAGTGGAAGGGCTGACAATTGAAAATAATTTTTTCATATTGAAAATCGAAAAAAGGAATAAAATCATAGTATCTGATTTGTACCTTCTGTAGCTAATGCTAAATTACGGGATTGCTGACAATAAGTAGAATATTATAAATAGAATAAATATATAACCCATCAGCAAAAATCCAATTACACTTAACGAATATTAGTCAGAAACAACTCGCACTTCCAAAAAATGAAACTTTTAACAATATATTGAAATGTTTGTTGGTCAAACTCAAACTCACCATTTTCACTGCAAGTAGTTGTCGTCTTTTCTGCAGAGCTTACAGACTTTGACGAAGTCCCAGATAACTCTAATAAACGACCAACATACACGGTCAGTTCAGATTCAATGCAAGAAAAGACGCGATTACAATTTTAGTATAGAAAATACTACACTGAAGTGATCTGAAAAATTTCTAACTATGGCCTTTCACTGTTAAGTAATGTAATTCTTCTTGCCATCGAATATTTCATTGATTCGAAAGGAGGAGAAAGACAAAATATAAAACTTTTATCAACTCAAAACAACTACTCACCTTCATTTGGATGAAAAAGCTAGTAATTTTCTTCATTTCGTCTGATAAAACTGATAAAAAACTCTGCCGGAGCTGGAAGTACAAAACACGCTGCCGAACGAAGCGAAGGGGTGGCCAAGGCATGGCGTTTGATCAAGGGGCAAGTCGGCCCCAGGGCCCAATTACCGCGAAAAGCACAGGAACCCCACAAAATGGCTGGCGTTTGAAATTGAAGAAAATACAGAGAATATAGCGGAATATAGACGGAAAAAAACTTGTTTCAGGTCTTTTTTTATTTTAATTATTTTTCTTTTTAGCGCAAAAAGTGCGGGCGGGGCCCCTCCCCCTCCGTGGTCCCTGTGATTTAAAAAAAAAAAAAAAACAGTGGGATTAAAGTCTTTTTCATAAATTTTTCAAACATGCTATAAGTATAAATTGATAGCATGAAATATTGGCGGCCCAATAGCCCTCAGGGAGAGGGTTCTTCCTTTACCAATAGTGTAAGAAAAAGAAAATTAAGGGGAAATCAATGCAAGTAGTTATGGGTAGTGCCTCTGGTTTGATTAGCTTTGCTTGTTTCAAAAATTTAATGGTAGGGGATTTAAGCCCATAGGCTTTACAAGGTAACTTTATCCGGGGTTTCAGTTAGGAGTTTTGTGTATGCGTAAAAACTGATAGTGATTTCAAATTAATTGTTTAAAAGAAACGAAAAGGGAAGTAAAATGACAAGTTTAAAACTTGCTTTCAGAAAAAGGTCAGTACACCAATTCATCAGACGAAAAAACAGCGGGTTCGAAAGGTATGTCTGATCATAATAATTATAATTTATTACATTTAATATAGCGCTTTAACTCATAATTTGTAAACAAATTTTAATTTGAAAGAAATAATAAGGGCTAAAAATTAAAGACCATTGTCAGCTAGCAAAAATTAGCTGAAAATGTGCGATTGTGACTATTAATGTTACCAGAAGTGCTTGATTATATCGGGTGTGGTATTAATTAGTGCTAGACTTTTTCTCCAGTCTATGTGATCACCTAGTACTAATCATGATGGAATTAGACAATCACAGGTTAAAAAAGACAGTATTTTTTGGTGTCTAATGGTTATAATTGGTTAACAATTAGGTCTCTGGCGCAAGGTTAGTTACACCCCTGTGTGTTTTGGAACAAAAGATGATCAGTTTGGAAGGTTCTTTGTTCCATCAAGTGGCAATTTGGCTGCCCTGAAGTTGGTACACCTGTACGGTTACGTGTCCTGTGACCCGAAATCAAATGCTCGCTGGTCTTACTGGGGCTGTGCTGGACCGGAAGTAAACGTGGTGGTAACCAATTCGACCAACCACGTCCTTCTCCCGGCAGACGAGTTTAGCTCTAATTCTGTTACAAAGTGGTTTAACATTCCTGGATATAACTCACTCTCTCCTGAGATTGTCCTGTCAGTTCTGTCCCGTCCTCGCTGGATGACCTCCGGCGAAGAACTACGCCTGTGGAACGGGGAGGATTTGGTGAATCGAAGTGAAAGTGACAACGGAGGAAGGGTGTGTTGTGATGTGCATGCTCTTTTCGTTGAAACTCGAGTGTTTACTTCGACTGAAGGTTTTAAGTAAACAAAAAATACAATAACGTGTAATTTGAAGGCAAAGTCAGTATGTAATCATTTTGATTGTTAAATGAATTAAATGACACTAAGGATGCAAAAAGGTAAAAAAAAAAATAGCTCTTAATATAAACATATTTCACTTGAAGTTAGCCTGCGTGCAGACGATAACTAAACTCTGATTAGTACCGTCTGCGAAGCAGCGCAGAGATCCTTGTTCTGGACCCCTAACGGACTCAACGAATTACCGGAAGTGCGTTTCGAATTCCCCTTCAACCTGATTGGCGATCACGACAAACAAAACAAAGGCCTTTTTTAACTGGCCAATCGTGGCGCGTACTCAAATCTGGGTACACAGTTGGAAGTCCAGAACAAGGATTTCGGCGTTGTTTCGCAGACGGAGTTAACCAGAGTTTAATTTCGTCTGCGCGCAGGCTAACTTGAAGTTGGCTTAATCAAATTATAACATAAACTAATGCCTTAGTCAATTCCAAGTGTCCCTATCCTTCCCATTCATCGATGTCAAAGTAGTGAGTCCCGGAAGTTTATTATTATTATTATTATTATCATATAGTGAACAAACGATGAATAAATTCACACTTTTTATCAACCACTTATTAGTTACCACTCCGACCTATTTTAAAATAAAGGTAATCGAGCCGATAAATAGACGGGCAACGAAATTTTGCGATAAACAGACGGTTACGCACCTCAGTTGAATCTGGCTATGTAATACTCGCTGTCGATGGACAGGCACGCTTAATTTGACTGAGCTTAGTTAATGAAAGTAAATACTTCGCTGTCATAAATACAAATAAAAGCTTGTGATAATAGAATAACAGAACACAGATCGAATCTGGTGTTTTTATTCCGCCCTTTACCGTCCTTTGTAAAAACCGAGGTCTGAGGAAAGTTGTAGCGTATTCCTGAGTGCTGTACCCACCTTTCTGATAATTTGACCATAGTTACTAGATCAAGGAGTTTTTATGGCCATAAAAGCCAAAAAATCTATAGCCTGGGACCAGGGGAAGCAAAAAACGGGGTGAAATAGGAAATATATATGCGAGCGGTGGTCTTTCTCTCCCCAGACTACCTCTCAGCTCGCTTCGCTCGCCCATTTTTTTTCGCACACGCCGATTTCCCCTTTTTCCCCCAATGCGGAGCCTGGTCCCAGCAGGCTAGAAAATCTATAAGGTTACAGCTCCCTGACCGTGCACCTTCTTCCGTTCTTCCTTTACAAACTGTAAATTGGTTATTTAAAGAAGGTTTTGCAATTCGCCATTTAGTCCAACGTGATTGGAGGGCTATTGTTTGAAGTGCACGTTCATGATCAAAAAAAATTCAAGCAAACAACGACATAAGCAAAGAAGTCTGTCGGGCTTCCTGACCATCGCACTCAGTTACAAAATATCTCAGAAGTGAGTTATAAGAAAGTAGTTTAAACGGTTACGCAACATATTAACCACTGAGAGATTTAAATTTTTTAAGCTTTCTGGCTTGCTTTCCTTGCTTTGGTCTGCTTGAAGGTTGACGGCTCAAGTTCGTTATCAACCGGTGCTGAAGCTAAAATGCTGCTAAATACGCTGAAGTTCAGTTATTTCTTCTAAGCAATATAGCGCATTTCCCCAAATAAGCGCCCACATTGTAATAGCGCCCTTCCCCAAATTAGTTCTCACGCCCAAGGCCAATCAAATAAGCGTCCCCCTCCCCTCCCCCAACTTTTCTAAATAGTAGGGATGCAAGGAAAACCTCAGATCTAAAGTGCATGGACTACGGAAGGTTTGTTTATCAAGCATTGTTTCAACAAAAGAAAGACATTAATATTGACTTTACATTTACCAAAACAACTTAGCTCTGGCTAACGCAACCTTGACCAAACCCGCAAGTTTGTATTTCGGATTCACGCATCTGGTGTTGTAAACAACAAAACGAATCCGGAACCGAAACTCGTCCGAATTCCTCGCGAATCCGGAAAAATGCAGCGCTAGGAAGTGTAAACAGCATTAGCCTTATTCTATGATAAGCTATTATTACGTGCATCAGTAAAAACGCTTAAAGGTTTACCAAATCAAGGAGGACTTGCGGGGGTGGGAAGCCTCCGAAAATGAATCCCAGGGGCGTATGTAGCCAGGATTTTTTCAGAGTCTGAGGGGGTCAATGGGGTGGTAGCTTTGACGGTTGACGGTTAAATTATAGAGCTTCTGACAGTTGATGGTTCTTTTGTTCAAACTTAGTGCAACATGACGGGCTTTGCTCACCAAAACAAATTATGCAAATTAGGCTAAGGGTAGATTGAATCTACCCATAACTTATGATTAACTGAAACGGGAGATCACAATTCGCGCCTTCATACGACTGAGGTGTTACTTTGGAATCCTCGGTAATTACTTTTTTCGCACTTGCCGACATCCAAAAACACCCGGCGTGGGAATCACGAGACGTGTAAATGAGACATTTCTTGACATAATAAAAAAGTTTTCCAGATACGGACGCGCATTTGTTGGCTTTACTCGCGTGGAGACACACGTCAACTGTTACTTCTCACGCGAAATAATATTCAACGCATGGCTCTACTGTAAAAAAACCCCGCTCCTTATTGATCGCACAACCATAATTATAAAAAGCGATAGCAAGAAAAATAACTGTCACTCGAATGGGATAATCGAAGATCAAGAACCAAACCTTAACGAGAGCGGGGTTTATATCTGTTACTAATGAGAAAATGGAAATAAAACATGAACCCTTTGCCGACGCAGAAAATATTACGAGAAGCTGAAGTTTACCACCCGAGAAACATTTTAATGACGGCCTATAATCTATTCTTACGGGAGGAATGAAATTATTTGCAATTATGTCGATCGAACAGTATACTCTATTCTGTCTATTACTGTGTAGTCGGCAGGAACATTACACAAAACGGCGTCAGCAACGAGGTTCGATGAGATAAATTAAGTACATTTACTTACCTGTGATAAATTAATGTTTACTCAATGAGAATGATTTAATCCCAGAGAAACTACGATTCCCGAAACAGGAACATTTGGAATTCTTGGACATCAGTAACTACAACCGACTTATAACAGCTTCATTTTAATACCGACTTGATTCTGAAATAATAAACCGTGAGATCTAACGCAAAGCTCATAGGGCACGGCGAAGTGAAGGCAACCAGAGGGTTTGAAGTAATCTGGTGGCCCAATCTTTTCTCCGGCACTAGCCATGGGAAGTTAACCCTAAAATTCTATTTTGCTAAAGTAATGCTTTGATTTATTTAACGTACGATAATTGACTCGGTTGTGTTTTACAAACACATTTTTTTGCAACCCAAGCTCCTTAATTAAGCCAGAGAAGGGAAATTTTTTGCCGTTGATTTTCATTGACAAAATAATTTGTAAGAACTAATAGACATGTGAGTGTTATAACTTTTCATTTGACGTTTTACAGTACGGATAGCTCTGTAACAAGCGGCAAGATAATTTCATTTTTACATACATATATTAGCATCGTTTGAATGGTGTTATCATGATTTTGGTTAAAACAATTTTGTCACACCGTGTCGCTGACAATTTATCTCAGTACCCAAGCAATAATTGTAACTAAAGTAAATTCTATGTGAATTTCTGAAAGAAAACTAAAGCAAAACAGTGTACACTCCATCACCTGCTGCAAATTATAGCCCTGTATCAAAGAAAAATAATTTTAAATCACTCAATAATGATGTTGATAATAATAGCAATAACAATAATAATAATAATCCGTCATCAGATAACAACAGCCCAGAAATGAACTGACTACCCAAGAGAAACAGAACCAGTTAGTACAAAATGAAAATGATGAAAGTTAGGTCCTGTCATCAGATAACAACGGTCCACAAATGAACTGACTACCCAAGAGAAACAGAACCAGTTAGTACAAAATGAAAATGATGAAAATTAGGTCCTGTCATCAGATAACAACAGTCCACAAATGAACTGACTACCCAAGAGAAACAGAACCAGTTAGTACAAAATGAAAATGATAAAAATTAGGTCCTGTCATCAGATAACAACAGTCCACAAATGAACTGACTACCCAAGAGAAACAGAACCAGTTAGTACAAAATAATAATGATAAAAATTAGATTTTGCCATTAGATAGCAAAAGCCCATGAATAAACTGACTACCTAAGAGAAACAGAATAATAAAGCTAAATGTTTTCTTTAAATTTAAGTGACCAGAAAACAGAAATACCTCACTGTATTGGGAATAATTTGACTAAAAACAAACTTACCTCAAGTCTAATATCACTAATATGTAACTTAAGTCCGTTTTAGTCTGACCTCTACCTTAAAGAAAAACAGAATTTACAAGGGCATCCGGTGGAACGCTTTTCTGGCGAAGAAGACCAGTGATCAAACGGACGTGGAAGCGACGTACACAGTAGCTGGCATCATGTTGAATTCCACCACGGCATAGGCCGATTTGGCGGGTTCAAGTTCCCGCTTTGCCGCGTCTTTCGTCAGGAAATCTCCTAAATATTTCATTTTTGGAGAAACCCGTCGGATGGACTCCACATATTTCTTTTTTGAGTGCATGCCAATGCTTTTGGGGATTGTAACCCTCGACAGACTCGAAATGGGAAACGAAGACTCATACCGTCGACGGTCGCCTTCACTTCAAATGGTTTCGAAATCAAAACCAGAGCGCTTTTGAACTTTGAAAGTCTAAGGTAGAATATTAATTAATTAGTAAGAATTTAACTCGTTTACATCGCATGATCGCTGCCTGACCCTCAAAAACAAAAAAATCGTACATGTACGGTGCCGTGCATTCATTTCAGCGGCACTGGAAACAAGTTTTTGCGGCGCTTTGTCACACACGTCACGTCATGTCTCAAGAGGGATTTTCTGACTCCGGCACTCGAGTATTTAATATTTCCACATGAAATATGGGTAGCTCCTTCAAAAAGTTTTATCAAAGTGACAAAGGAAA